TTTTTTTTTTTTTTTTTTTTTTGCCTAGTGTTTTTCCTTTGTGATGCCACATGGTCATGTCATTGTTATGTCACTAGTGAAATTTTTGAAAATGTTTACATAGCCAAAAGGTGAAAAAAGACTAAAAAATGTTCAATAGGAAAAATATATCTAAAGACTTACACATGAAAACTTAAGAATTTTACAATTTCCTTCATTCATTTATTATAAATATGAGCAAATGGTTATTATTTTTAGTTAAAGTAGGCCATGTTATGACTGCACACAAAATGACATAACCAATAATTTAAGAGGTATATATGTCGACAGATAATGTGTATCTTACATCAGAATAAAAAGTGTTCTTGTATTTTAAAAAACTATATGTGAATCTAAATTTAAAAAATATTTTGAACAAGTTTAATTTTTCATGTGCATTTACCATATAAATAAATACTGAGAGAAACTAAAATTTGCAACACCCTGAATATGTTTCAGTTTATTAAAGATTCAATGTACATGCAGTATAGCTAGATTGTAATAAATGATTACATATTGGGGTCAATATGTGTACAGGTTTCAAAATAAGGAGTGTTTTAACAGTATTCTGACCCCTATATGAATATACTGTGTATCCTCTCTGGGCATCAACGCATACTTGTACTGTTGCATGCATAGAATTGTACAGGTGTTTAATACTAATCCTGTAATACAGAGATAGTTATATAGGTGATCTAACTTCTGTAAGCATTTGATGGGGGACAGATCTAGCAATTGTGCTAGCCAGGGAAGTTTGTCAAATATGTCTTTCAGAGCATGCTTAAGAAACACAGCATCTTATGGGCAAGCCTTATACTGCTGGAATGGCCCCATCACCTTGTTTCAGATATGGTAGCAGAATAGGTCAAGTAATGGTCTTGATGTACATGGTACTATTCAATGGACCACCCATGAATACCATAGGTGAGCACCTTACACCTTGTTGCCAAGTGTTGGGCATGTGTTGTGGGTGGATGCACTATCGAAGATGCTACTCTTGTGGTCTGTTGAATGTGCAAATGACTATCATTTTCATGAATGTAGAATCTGCTTTCATCACTGGCCTCTACAGAGAATAATTCGATCCTCTCCAAATAACCCTCTCGCAACACCACTGGAGACCTGCATGAGAGTGTTGTGGTATAAGTCTGTCTGGTATCACACTGCAAGTAGACTATTCCCAATTGTCCAGGATGGCACTCCTGAGGCCACTTTCTGATTTATGTCTATGGATCCATGCAGTCTGCCACTGCTGCCCTTATAATGTGTTAATCTCAGCCGGTGTTACATTACTATGTGGTAATCCAGAACCTGGTCTGTGGATATTGGAATGTTCATTTTTGTCAACATGAAACTCACTGTGTCACATCCAACATAAGCAAGAATTTTCCAAAATGACTATCTTGTCATTTGAAGACCCATAATCTGACTGCTCTGAAATAGTACTAGTTGAATGAAAGGAGTATGTGTGCATTGCCATGACACCTGTTTTACACTGGATTTTTCTACTACACTAAACCTTATCACAGAATGTATCAGCTAAAACTCAGATGATGCACTGTATGTGAGTTCTATATAAGATATCAGATTTCTTAAGATTTTATCCAGCTATCTGTTGTCTAACATGTACATGCTGTATCCAAAGATTGGTATCATCGTTTATGGTGTTATTTCATTTTCTATTTGTGTAATAAAGACCTATTTAGGTTTTCATTACTAATCATTCCAAACTTTACTTTTTAGTTGTAGTAAATTATTGAATTGAAATGAATTTCATTATCAGTGGCATTGATAAAGGGAAATGCTCGTTTATCTTTATCTCCTTTTTGATATTGCTTCTGTGTTACTTGTCCAAGATTACATGTAATATATATTTTGATTACAAAGACCATAAAAATAAGTGTTAATCGACAAATTTGGTAATAATCATATTTCTTTCATAAAATAATTAGCTAATTTGTCTAAGTTGCTCAGAAAATTAATTTTGTCTTTAAAAATGTTACTGGTAGGATTACTTTGTTAGAGTTAGTTTTTTTTTTTTTTCCTCTCAAAGATCTTCTAAATCAGCCATAATCAAACAGAAGATTAAAACACTTCACATGTGTTTACCTTTCGAATCTATTTACAACTGCCACTCCGGTATGGGTCTGTACAGCCCCCAAACTGCAAGCTGAATCAAAATATACAGATACAGATCCATGGTCTCTCATGACTGTTGGATACCACACCCTAACCATAACTTATGAATTCAGTTTCTTTTCTATCTCAATCAAAATTTGTAAATTATTCAACAGGGGTCAGTGGAAAATAGGTGACACAATACTGATGTAGATTTAGTGCCCAAAGATTATAAGATTTTGCTTCTTTTAGACGCCTCTCCAGCTGTGGGTTAAATAGTAGAACTTGTATCCAGAAAAATCATTATCTTAAAAAAAATTATTGTTGCAATATTCATTCACCAAAAAAAAAAAAAAAATAATAATGTTCTTACAGTCCAAAATGTTTTGGCTTTAAATAACCCACAAAGGAGTGACAAGTCAAAAAAAATCCATCTTTTAGGCAAAATTAACTTTTAAGATAAAGAATCTTTTTGAGAAATTCGCAATTTAATTCTGTGACTTAAATTTTTTTACATAATTTTAGCTGAGCAAGTTAGAATGAAAAAGTCTGTTTATGAGCATGTAACTGCATTGTTCCTTCAACAGATTTTTATGAGGAAAGTTATAAAAATTCTTAAAACCATTTTTTAAAAGAAATAATTTTTGTAGATAATATGCATAATGCTTCAAGGAATGATTTTGGAAAAGTAAAATCAATAAACTTTCAGGTTTAAAAAAAAAAATTTTAAAAAAATTTGATCTATTTTTAGATGAATATAGAGACATTCATCACTTTTTTTCTGCTCCTTATCTCCCAGAAATAATTAGTTATTGATTTAATTCCTTCATTACTTATAATACATTACAAAGTCTGTATGTGAAAATGTTTATCTAAATAATAAATTATTCTTGATTTATGTATATTGTAAGATTCTTAACATTTCCTGTTTAAGACCATATATTGGATTTTTATTCAGAATTAGATTTTATACTTAATATTCATTTTTATTTCTGCATCATTTCAGGTTTTTTCAAACCAGGTTTGATTGTAGGCAAAAATGTTAACTCTTCTGTTATAATTTATTTTAATTGTATATGAATTGTTGAGAAATTACAAATATTAATGACCTTTGACAATCTTATTGTGAAATATGTTGATTTATTCAATAACTTATGAAAATCATTCCTTGTATTTTCGACTTCATTAATAAACATCGAAGATTAGACTTTTAAAAATGGATACGTAAACATTAGAAAACAGTATTCTTGAAATAGTTTCTCTAGTCTTTTTTTTTTTTTTTTTTTTTTTTTTTACCTTTCATTTTGAATCAAGGAATGAAAATGTCAAAAAAAACATCTCTTCAGGTAGATATGTTTGTTTTTATTTTAATAAATTTTATCAGGCATATACTGTGTGCTTGGCTTGGACTATCAGATCCTCTATCTCTGCTTTTGCCAATATCTCACCTTTTTCTGATGCTTTTTCTTTTTATTCTTTTTGTATTGACTGATTACTTAAAATGTGTTCTATGGTTTAAATGAATATGACTTTTAAAAAAATTAAGTTTTGATTATTTTTGAATAAGTGTCTTAGTTGAAAGTAATTGAAATGCAATATAAAAATTCTTTCATAATCTATTTTGGAAAAAAAGTATTTTGGTAATTATTTTTCATTTGAAAATTGGCTTTTCATGGTATTTTTGTAGAACACATTTTTGTTTCAGTTTTGGAATAAAAACTGAAAATGTTAAGGTATATTATTCATATTTAAGTAACTTTGTTTTTATAAAAGCCTTGGTATTACAGATATCTTGATATTTTTAGAATTGATACTTTGGAGGTGTTTTTTTTTTTTTTTTTTTTTTCTGAAATATAAATTGGTCATGTAGGAAGGATTAGAAATTTAAGATAAAATTCCCCCCCTCCTTCCTCAGTTTCTGATTACCAATTTAAATTAAAAAACTTAAGAATAAAGTTGCTGCAAGACGGAGGATATCGACATGAAATTGAATGTGATTTTGAATAAAGATAGCAGTGAAAAATTTTCTCTATTAGCATTTGAAATTTTGTAAAATAATTAAAATTATGAAGCTATTTGCATTGGATGCAAATAAGCTTCATATATGGTCTACTAAATACATATGTGAAGTTTCAGTTTTTGACAAAAGATTTTATTAAAATAAAAAAGTACATATTTGAACTAAACAATTACTATATAAACCTGGTGACTGCTTAGTTTTTTATTTTTTTAAATTTAATTTTAGAGTATGTTTACCAGTGTGTTACACTGCTTGAGACCTTTTCCTTTAAATTTACAAAGACAGTTTACAAATCTTGTCTTACCTTTTTAATCAAATAAATATTATTTACTCTTGCTTACCCACTGCCCAAATCCATTGTTCTTAAGGCATGATTGGTATGTATAAGTGGGTTAGAAAGAGGTAGTTGTTACTCCATAGTCTAACATTGTGATCCCTATGGCTTATGACATCTGATAACTCATCCTGACACTTGAACCATGTAAATCAGGCCGTGTTACTTGTGTGTGTGGGCACACACTCATACCTCTTCAAATTTCTTAAAATTTGGAGTATTGAGTTACTGTGCATTAGAATAGGCATATAGGATTAATACAGATATAAAATTTGTCACTTAGCTGATTGATGTTTATATATATATATATATATATATATATATATATATATATATATATATATACACACAAAATTTTAATTTTGTATTTATTTTTTTATGGTTTTTGATCTAAGTAATTTTTTAAATTTATTTTTGGCTATATGTATGTGCATACCTATGAGAAGATTGAAAAAAAAATTTTTTTTCCTTAATGAAACGTTTTTCAATTATTAAATTACTTGTTTTCAGGAATTTGCTACAATTACAAAGGAATTGAGTGCTGCTCGAGAACAGTTATTAGAACGAGAAGAGGAAATATCAGAGTTGAAGGCAGAACGAAATAACACTAGAGTAAGTATCAAGCTTTGCACTTTTATCATTTACACCTTGATTTTTACAATATTTTCATATAAGAAAATTTAATTGAAAATTTTTTTTTTAATTAAAATGATTAACCTGATCTAGTTGAGGTTGATTACAGAAGTAATCAGTTTTGCAGCTACTATCAGTCTAGATCTTGTTATAGGATAGTTTAGGGAGAAGTAGATTCATCCCTTTCTTAAGAGTATTAGTATGATGTGAATATAAGCAGATTGAACTATAATTTGAAAACTTGATTTCATTTTCAACATTGGTACCTGAAATTGGAGTATATTCATAAACTAAAGCTGAAAACAGCCATGTCTAAAAGGTATAGACAACAAAAAAAGTGCTCAATACAAAATTCAAAATTGAATATGTAGAGCTAAGATATTTAAGAAAAGGCTAAAATGCTAACCAACTTCACAACCCTTGGTTCAACTGTAAGGTCTTCTCGGGCAAGTGGAAGGATGTCTTTATGGTTAAAATCCAGGTTGCAAGGTTGATTAGCCTTTTCTTATAAAAATACATAGTACCTGAAGATTGCATTAGCATGAAACTCAGAGTGGTACTGGCAGTAGTGTGTACTATGTATTTTTATTAATATATAATTGATAGCTCTGTTATTTAGCATTGAGCACTTTTTCTTAGACCAAAGGATGGATGTATGTATGTATGTATGTATATGTGAACATTTACATGTACATTTTTATATATATATATTTATTTAAAATCATAAAAGTAAACGTTTAAGACAAAAGTTAGAAGTGACAGGCTGTTTCATGCTAGATGCAATCGTCAGGCCACCTGATGATTGTGTCTTGTATGTCGCCTCTAAATGTTCACTTTTATATTTATGCATGCTCTCTCTCTGATATTGAGCACTTTATCCTATAAATATAGCACACCCTAAGAGTATATTTCTTTTTGTGTGTGTGTGTGTGTATATATATATATATATATATATATATAAAAATGTGTGTACACATACAACAGTAATTTTTAAATGGATTTTTTATTACATTATTATTTCTTATTGCTATAAACATTATTTTTAGTGGCTGCACCTGTTTGAGTTGCTATCTCTGTTTTTCTTAAGAAAATAACAAACAACCTATAATTTAGTGGGACTTTTATTATCTAAGCTAGTTGTTAATAATTTCACTGTTTAAGAAAAATGTGGATAGCAACTCTAACACGTGTACCCATTAAAAGTACTTATAGTAATAAGAGTGTACACACATATACAACATATATAAAAAATAAAGTACTTGTCTGAAAAAAGTGAATGAAACAACTTTAATTTTTCACATTTATTATCAGAATTTTGGTCTAATTGTATCACTGCTTATTTTAGAATTAGTAATTCAGAAAATAATACAATTTAAGGAATCAGTTGGCTTGTCCTGCATTTTTAAATTAATTCATGCCATATAGTTACTTTTTTATGCATTTCTTTAATAAAAATTATATAATTTTAATGTCTGTCAATAGGTAATGAATGTTCTAACTCCTTTTGAATTTCCTGTATTTTTTTTTAACCAGCCTATTGTATGTTATAATAATCATTCCAATTTATTTTCAAATTAAATCTAAAGGTATATAAGTATTTGCACTTTCTTTTTCTATTATATAGAAATTATTATAGAAATTGAAAGAATGTGTGCTAACTGTAAAATTCCTATTAGAAAAAGTATTTAGAACAACAAAAAAATCGGTTTCTCAATAACCATAGTGATTGAGCAAGGCTGAATTAGAAAATAGAAAGGAAGATTGTTATTCTTCTAAGTAGAGGCAGTCTGTTTGCTTTGGAGATTAATATTCAAAACTGTTGCCAACTTTTTTTCTTTTTTATTCTGGACTTTAACATTAACCACTTTGTAATATATGCACAATTTTCTATTGTGGGGCATAAACAGTATGTATTCAACCATTGAATTTGTTGAAAACTTTTTAATCGCTGCTGTCTATTCTTGACCATTTTCTCAGTATGCAGTCATAGATGTAAAGCATAATGATGAAACTTGATGACCTTCAGTGAAGGCAATTTTTAGGTTGTTTTTAATCTCCATTCCAAAATTAATGACATTTCCTTCATCCTTTTTACTGATGGCATTATAGTTATTTAATGAGCTGTGAAATTTGCCATCTCTTGAAAGGTTATTTTTACTTATATTGTTTTACAAAGTTGAGCCACAGTACCAGGAGTGTAGGAAATATGTTCTTTCACTTATGAAGTTTTAAATGCAAGTGTATATTTGAATAATAATTTGTTTACCTTCAATTTTGTAAGGAGTCTACAAACATTTTTGTTTGTAGTGAAAATAAGTGAATGGCATTAGATTCTGTTCATTGGGAAGTGTTGATTGGTTTCAATAGTTTTTAAAGTCTTGTGTTAGTATCAACAAGAGAAAAGGCAACAAAGATGAAGACTAGTTTAAATAATATTTTGAAAAAAAAAAATGGTAAATGTTGGTTTTGTTTCCATTCATGAGATTGGAATGAGTCCTTGTTAAAATTACCTAACATTTTCTCTTGTTCCCTATTCTAATGAGTGACCTTAATATGGGCTCATATGATTTTGTCAGAATGGTCTGTTCTAGTTAGGGATGGGGGACAAAAAACATGCCAAATTCTGAAGACCATTTTCAGAAAATATCTAAAGTTTAAATAATATTTTTACAGAAGTATTCAAAATAAGACATATCAGAACATTATATTATCAAATTTTCATATTTATTGCTTGATCTCTAATCCTTGTCTGTAAAATTAGTGAATCTATCTCCTCTCCTCCCAGCTATGGATTGAATACCAGGACAGACTTTGTCCTATAGTTGGCAACCAGTCTGCTGCAGAAAGAAATGGCAGCTTACTGTGAGAAAATTTGGCTAGTCATCATGAATCGAAAGAGACCTGATTGCTCAAGCGTGTATCATGTATGGCACTTAGCTGAATCACTGGCTTCGGAGTTAACTTTTAAACATCAGAGAGATGGCAGGAAGGGTTTTTTAATATATGAGTTGAAAAGTTTCTTTCACATGAAAATTAGGTTTTTTACTTTGAAATGTCTATCTGTGAACAAATATTTTATTTTCTTGATTAAAAATAAGAGGGTGCTGAAAAATTATTGCTCAGGCTCATTTCTCCAAATCTGACCGAACATCAGATTTTTATCCCTTCTTGGCTGGACTTTCAGCTTCCCACTGCATAAATCTTAATTTTTAAGTTGATTAGTAACATTTGAATTTTATTTTAATGTTATAAATTGCTCAAGAGAAACAAGTTGAATATTGATCCAAGACTTAATAGTCAAATAATGCTCTGAATTAGCAAAAATCTATTCTCTCATCATGTTAAAATTTCTTAAATATAGTTATATTTAAATCACTGATTGCTTTTGATTTGTGTTTGTTCTGTATCCTATTATAAAAATATTCTGTTAACTTTATATTGCAATTTTGAAATGTAATTTTTTTTTTTTTTCTTGTTTTGTTATGCACAATTTGGTGTAAATGTTAATGTCAAAACATTGCCAAAACTTATCCTTCAGAACCATATTATAATACTTTACACATCTTTTTACTTCCACATATGGTGAGAGCAATATACATTAATATAATTAGTTTTCAAGAAATGTTTTAAAAAAATCTCTTTAATTTTTTATGTGTTTAAAGCTGAAAGAATGGAGTGACAGATCTCAGCTTTGTTATGCAATTTTAACAACCATTTTAGTTTTTGCTTTTTCTCTTTTCAAAAATTTTCACATAAATGTTTCTACATTAGTTGGCTCTTGACTAATTTTAAGTTTGTTTTTTTTTTGTTTTTTTTTTTTTTTTAATAGTTTGCATGCCCATCCTAACCTTCTTGTATTAGGATATTCTGAATATTTCCAATATCTGTCTTGATATACTTTTTGATACTCCAGTTGCCATAGGTTATTCAAAAAGTTTAATTTTATCTGATGATCATGTATCATTGGTCAGTTTCTTATCCTGACTGATAAAAACTTCTTAGCATTTAAAGTTTTTTTTTGTTTTGTTTTCTAGAAAGCTTTTTATTTTTGTTTATTCTTGTATCACTGAATAAACTAGAAACTAACATTTTCATTTGTCCTCTTAACTTTGACTCTCTGTGTACACAGTTTTGTAATACAGTTTTGCTTTAAAGTCAGCTAAAAAAAAAAAACTAGAATTTGATTATGTCACTAAATCCACTATTCAACATTATGTTCAGTTTTTTGATAGTGCAAGTTTTATCATTTTATCAATGATTTAATTATTCTGAAAGTTTTGAATTGAGTATTTATTTTTATTTTTTTCTAAGTTATTTCTCTTTTTTTTAAGTTACTGCTGGAGCACCTGGAGTGCCTTGTTGCTCGACATGAACGCTCACTCAGGATGACGGTTGTGAAACGACAGGCCTCGTCCCCAGGTGGAGTTTCTAGTGAGGTAGAAGTTTTGAAGGCACTTAAGTCCCTTTTTGAACATCATAAAGCACTTGATGAAAAGGTAAACTTCCAAAATCTTCAATAAATATTTGACGCACAATAGTCACACTTTCTTGTATTTAATCCATTCAGATGTGGAAAGGTTGATTTAATATTATTTTCATCATTATACTTTGATAATATCGGAATTTTTAAAAGTATGAAACAATGAATTAACTTTTTTTTTTTTTTTTTTTTTTAACGTATCAATTTCTTATTGTAGGTTCGGGAACGACTACGGGTATCATTGGAACGCGTTGCAGTATTAGAAGAGGAGCTCTCAAATGCAAATCAAGAGGTACACATATGTTTTAAAGTAATTTTTATAAAAATAATTATGGATATTTAATTTTTCAGCTTTTTTTTTTTTTTTTTTTTTTTTCAGAGATTGAAGTTATTTACCAATTCTAGCAGCTGCTTGATTGGTCAAGATTTAATTCAACAGAGTATTGGTGTTTTTCATAAAAATTAAATTTTTTTTTTTTATACTGTTGGTGGTTCTTGTTTTTTAAATAGGTAGAATGTTTATTTTACTTTCTCTTCCTTCTCTGCATAAAATGTTACTGTTTTTTTTTTTTTGAAAGAATAAAACCTTTATTAATGCTTCTTACATGAATAAACAGCCTTTCTTATTCAGAAAAGCTAACACCCTATAGCTTAAAACATCCATGTGACTGAAGTGAGTGTATTTCATAATAGATCTTATAGGTGAAGTTTGGTTTAATTGTATACGTGATTACATTTTAAAATAAATAGATCGAGGCGCTGTTAAATAAACTTTAAGTTTTATTAGTATTACTTAATTAATATTATATAGCATTTTCATTTGCATCATTTTAATTGCAAAATTACAACTGCATTATTTTATCTTAAAATTTCCAATTTGAAATCTCTCTATTCATTGGTTCCAATAGCTATTATAGAGAGCCAAGGAAACATTGTACAGGAATTAGATTTTGGAAATAAGTGATTGTATGAATGTAGTTCCTTTATTCCTGTTACTTAAAGGACCTATTTGCAGTGAGATATCAGAAAGGATAGTGTGGTTCAGTTTGCAGATGGTGTTGCTGCAATTGACTTTTCTCTGAAATTTTGCACTTTTATTCAGAAGGTAAGAAATTCAAAAGAATGCATTTCTTCCAACGAAAATAAAACTTCAGAAGAATACTTCATAAGGACCTGCTTTTTAATTAAAAAAAAAAACCCATTGATATGCTGAACTTTGCCCTAAGTGAAGGTCAGTTAAGAATAAAAGGTTGAACATTTTAGAGCTCAATAGACATCATACAACTCATCTACAGACATTAACAGATCCTGTTCTTCAATTTATTAAAAAAATAAATTTTAAACTATAATTTACTTTCAAAGATTAGATTCTTGGCTTTCCTGATGAAAAGTTGAAAAGTTTGCTTCAATTAAAATAAGCTATTTCCACTATTTTAAGTATTCATATATTTCTCTTCATGTCATTAGAATTCAACAACTACCAAATTGGTTGTGAATGTATATTACTTTTGTACAATTTAGCCAAATTCTAATCTTGTTTATATAGCTTGTGTCTAATTCGTTATTTTCATAGTGCCATAATAGAGGAAATTGAAAGTATTCATAAAAATAACTTAGGTTTTTAAAATTTCTTTGGGCATAGCAATCATGACAGAAAGTAAGAAATTCCAAATTGAAAAATGACTGTTGGAAAAGTTAGGCTTGATTGGGGAGATTCTCCTCACTTGAGTTTTGAATCAATTGAATGTAGTAAATACATATGCTAATTTTAACTCTAACATTCTTGTGATTCATTCATTGCATTAGAAAGGAGTGAAATAAAGACTGTATTTTATGCTCATGGTCTAAAGAAATAACTCAAATTCACAAAGTCGTTTTTTTTTTTTTTTTTTGTTTATTGATCTGAATGTCATAAAAATCTGATGTACTATAGAAAAATACAAAAACTGAAAATGCAATATTATTGTAACATTTTCATTGAGGATAGATTTTTTCTTGTAAACTCTAAATAAGATGATACACTGCAAAGATTGTGTTTAAATCAAGTAAATATATATTAAGTAAAAACGCTTTTACAATATTATGAATTGTTTAAAATTAACTTTAAAAGTCATTCTTGAATTTATAAATTCTAGATTTAGGTATTTATAAATGGTCTATTTTCTGAATTTGCATTTAAAACAAATTTTCTATCTTTTGGGACTTTATTTTAATTAACATTTTTCTTGATCAATTGGTTCCATATTTCATAACTTGTGCTAATAACTTTTATAAATTTGTAAATATGATAATTAAGAAAAAGTCAAGCTATTGATGTCGTCATATATCCTAAAGATATTTGCATCCAATTCAATTCTATCATATCTTCATATTATGTAGGATGTTTAAATTATATATTTTGAATACAGTAAAGTTAACTGATTGATATTTTTTTCCCAAGAAATATAATGATTGTTTAACCTAAAAATGAAAATATTCTACAAATTGTGGTTTGGTAATTTATGAAACGGAAGTGCATCAGCACAAAATCTTACTTGTTTCCATTAATAATGGCACGGTATCCTTGGTGGTTCAAAAATGTTCAGAAATATAGAGAAAAAATTTTTTAATCTACTTAAAGAATGTTAAAATTTTTACTTTAGAATGGATAGGAAGAGAATTATATTCAGCAACCTGTGGATAGAAATTTGAGATTTTTTTAAAGTAAATGTTATCTGAGAGGGGGCAGAAGAATGGAAGATTGCAATTGGCAAATAGTGTTTAACATTTTCCAACCAATGCAGTGTAATTTTATTTTCTTCCCTGTTCTGCTAATTTTCAATAAGTCTCTTTTTAGGAATTTTTTTTTTTTTCTCATTTTAAGTGATGTCTATTGGATTTTATCTTTTTATGGATTGTGTTGATTTTTGAGGATAAATATTTTTAGTCTTTACTTCAGATTAATTACTAGCAAACAGTTATTTGAAAATGTGTAAATGGAAGTTTTATCAATTAGTAGTTCTGAAGCAGAATTTTCAGTGTTGCTTCAGAATAAAAAAATTCATTGCATTTTGTCAACCAGTATATAAAAGAAACTGGATTGCTACCATTTTGTCACATCAATGGATTAATGGTGAATTTTTAATGCTTTATTCATTTGTAAGTATTCATACTTGTTTGTAAAAATGTTTAAATCCTAAATTGAAATATGAAAAATGTCGCCATGAACTTGTTCAAAGTTCCTTTTCATGGTTCAGCAGTTTTAGATGATTTTAATTTATTTACCCTGTGGCCTGATTTTCTTTACAAAGTGCTTTCTGCTCTGAATCTGTAGTGTAATGAGATCATGGCTGATTCAGGGTTAAGTTTAACACCGTTATTATTAATTAATGGTTAACTTTGAATGGTTTCAAAACATTTATTAAGACAATCTCTTTTCATTGGAAATGGAAATCAAATAAGAGTGCAATTAACTTGTAATTAGCAAGTTGAACATTATATAATTTGTGTGAATTGATTATAATGCAGAATAGTTGACAAAACTAGTAACATGGAATCCAATTTAGACTGCAGCTTGATGACGAAAAAATGTATCTTCCCATTTTATTGTTCAGCTTTCAACATAATTGTTTAAAAGCATTGTCATAAAATCTCTAATTTTGTTTATATTCTGTATGAAGAATGCAAAAGATAATGCTTTACTAAAATGGGTGTAATCATTTGTCAACTAGATAATTTTTTTCTTGTTACTACTTCACCAATTAAAAAATAGTTTGTCTTGGTTGCACACAGCCTATAACAAGGTTAACGTTAAGTTAGCCAACACTGTATATTGATTTGTACCTTAGAAGTTTCATTTAGCTGAATGAGTTCTAAAGTTTGATTTCTCAGTTGTTTCATAAATGAAAATTTTAACAGGACTGAATATTGTCTCTCGTCACAACTAATGGCATTCTCTTTAAATATGGAACAATTTTTAATTTAATTGTTAGTAAATTTATGAACAGCACTATAAATTTTATCACCTTGATGCTCAAATTAATTCTCATTAAATTAAATAGACAAATATTACATATCTGTCAATGGTTTTTATATCTCCTGAGCCATATAACATATTTCCTGTGTATTTAAAGAAGTTTACTTCATCAGTAACAGTTCATAGAATTGTTTCATTGTATAAATTATGTGACTGATTATTGAACAAGATTAGTTATTTCTGTGTAGTCTGAAATACATTTAAATTTATTGTAAACAGCCTTTTTTATTAGGTTTTACTATTCAAACTTGTACTACATGCTACATACATAAGCAGCTTAAACAGGAAAAAATTGGCGAGGCTTTCTTTTTTTTAAGTTTTTCATTCTTTATTTTCTTTTTTAATTCTTCCTTAGTTCAAAATTACTTGACATTATCATTTAAAATATTTCATACTTCATCTTAATACTTTAAATGAGTTTTTATTGAGAGTAAAAGCAACAGTAAAGCATAACGGCAATGCTTCAGTTCTCCTCTTTTTTTTTTTTTTTTTTTTTTTTTTTTTTTTGTAAAATGATATTTTATGGCCATGTAAATCAAAATTGAAACTGTTGTGTTCAAGCAGTCACTTAAAAGGTACTTTGGTAATGACCCCCAACCCTTTTTTCTCTTTTTAATTCAGTTAATATTCCCTTACTACCAATCATACTTACCGTTTCATTATAATATTGTTTAATTATTAGAATAAATGTCTTAATTATTTTATAGCCAATAGTTAACTGCTCATATTAAAATTAATTTGTAATTTTCAGTGGTTTTCACAGTATGTTACTTTTTTTTTTTTTTTTTTTTTTTTTTTTTTTTTAATATAATTGTAAATTTAATTTTTGCAGACATTTCTTTTGAATATTTTTTTTTAGTTAGTGTAGTTAAATTTTAGAATTTGGATGTTTGTCACTTAAAATTTACCTCTTGTAAGGCTATATTGAAAACTTTGAAGAGGAGCATTATTTTTTTACGTCATTGAACTTGGGATTTTTTTTTTTCTTGTTGTTTTTTTTTTTTTTTTTTTTTAATAAATATAAGTATGGTTGATGAAATTTGACTATTTTGAAAGATTTTATTTCTAGCAGAGGTTTTCATAGCATTTTTTTAATAGGCATCTAACTTACCCAAAGTTCAGTATGCCAGCTAATGAAAATATAAGTGCTTTTTTCTTTGTTTTCATTTCTGTGCACTATTGGGTTTAGATTTTTAGTTTTTCTCTTGCAGTTTTTTGTTTTTTATCCAGTTTTAAATTTTAAGTGCTAGTCAGCAATTATGACTTGATTTGGTTGAAGCAATTTCATTTGCTGAGCTCATTGAATTAGACTAAAGTGATTTTTTTTTTTTTTTTTTTTTTTTTTTTTTTTTACCTGTTGGTCTTTTCTGCTCAGTGATCACAATGAGAAGCCACAAATTTGAACATTTTTCATAGGTATATTTGTTAGACACCTAAAGAATGAGCAAAAATCTATATACATAGATGTAATTTTTTTTTTCTTAGTTAAAGGAGCTTATATAGGATATTGATTTGATTCACTAAAAATGTTAAAATTGTAAGATATTATTGGGTTAACAATTGATAATTTTCAAGTATAGGTTTGGTTTTTTTTTTATTTTTTTATATAATGATTTTTAAGCAGTTTTAACATTTTATGTATTTCTGTAATCACTTCTAGAAGATATTTTTCCCCAGGAATACTTTCATAAATGCCATTTTATTGTCAGATGTTATACTTCCAGAATTTTAACCAGTAAAAAAAACAAAACAAATTATTTTACCACAAACAGTATTTAACTTTATATGTTGGCAAGTTTTATTGGGTGGCTTAAATGTTTGTTCAATTTATTAATTGAAAATACAATAAACAATATATTTACTGTTATTTCAAGTTAACTTCATAATTTCATCTGCCTTTCATCTCCTCCTCCCTAGTTATGAGTTAAATAGTTCTTGTATCTGGAAAAAAATCATTATTCTCAAAATATTAATGCAATATTCACTTTAAAAATAAATAAATAAATAAACTTACAAACCAAAATGTTTCAGCTTTAAATAAACCACAAAGGGTTAAGCTGTAAAAAAAAAAAAAAAAAAAATCAATCCATCCTCACAGATTATGTTTTTCTGAGCAAAGAGGAGCTCTAAATACATTTTACACTCTTCCATAAAATCTCGCTTCACTCATTAAAAACAAAACAGAAGAAATGGCAATAGTATGTGATAAATGCTTTATAGCTCAGTTGTAAAAGATTTTTTTCTGCCTTGATCACCAAAGAAAAATATAACCTAGGATAATCCTGATAGAATATAACACTGTCTTTTTAAGTATTTCTGAATTATTTTTTGTTTGTTGCCACCTATCTTCAGTTGCTCTAGTTTAGAGCAGTACTTGCTTAAATGAATTGTTTGGTTCTCCAGAGGGCGCTCAGAGTAGTTGACTCCCTTGCAGTCTAACCACATACATAGCATAATGTTCTTGATTTGAAGACTGGACTTAGTTATGGTTACTTTTTGCTTGCTTTCTGACTTCTTGCTTTTACTACTAATTGTTTTACCTCATGCAAGGTGATAGTGCCACTAAAACACAAGGGGGTTACAGAGGGTTAAAGAAAATGAGAAAGATGTCATTAGGTAGGATGGACAATAAAAGAAAATGGGATTCAGGAAGACTGAAAATTGCAATTGATGTTGCACTTAAATTTTTTAAGATCATAGGTAGCTGAGAAGCAAAAAGCTATGAGTTTTACAGGCAAGAATTGTAAGAAAAACTATTAGAATAGAATTTATAGTTGCATCTAGCTAATTCAACAGTTGAGCAATGAGACCTAATTGCCAATCTGGTACTACGCTTAAATGCATGTGGTTGAAGTACCAAGGACGAAAGTGCATTCAAACAATTGCCATGAAAATATTTAAATGACTGAAACTGAGAGGCCAGCTCAAGACCAGTAACATTACAGACCCTCCTTTAGATTTTGTCAAGAATCTTGAGACATCTAGTGGGAGCACCAGACTATATATTTATAACATTCAGTGCACAGTAGATTTATAAACATGCAAAATGGAATCTGGCATGACACAGTTAACCAGTAGACCTAGCAATTGATTCAATATAATCTCTTCACTTTGTGTCTGGAAAATGTTAGACTGAGAAGGCATACTGAGTTGCTCTTTAGGAGGTTTGCCAGGAAGGCAAAAAAGGGTTCTCTATGGTGATTTTTTTTTTTTTTTTTTTTTTTGAAAGATTGTATTTTTTGTTTTAGAGGCATTAAAATTTGCAAGCCATTTCTTGTCTGAGGTAATAACTGATTAAAGGTGATCTTAAAGATCAGCTGCCAGTTTTACTTTATCAGAAGTGAATCTCTTGTGCAGATATGGTCCAATAACTTTTTTTTAAAACTTCTGTGAAAGCCATACATCAAAGTAACTAATATAACCAAGTTAATACAATAGATTTTCAATGATTTTGATAATTGTAGTATGTTGGCTAATTCCTACATCATATGTATTCATTTGATTGTTGTCAATCTCAATGGCCAACTGGTTTATCCAACTACGGAGCATTATTCAGTGAGAAGTCTTTGCTATAGAACTTTGCAAACCAATTTTGACCTGGTTTATTGCTCATGGTACCTTCTCTATAAATTGGAAATCTTTTTTGCATTTCAATCACATCTTAAAGCATAATGTGCTGAAAATATTGCTGCTTTTCTCTCTCTCTCTCTCTCTCTCTCTCTCTCTCTCTCATGCTAGAATAAAATATGCCAATTTTGACATTTTTAATGCATGTTGATATGAAAGCTATCATGATACAGTCTTTTGGAATGTAGTTAAAAACTAAATGCTTTGAATGCATCTCACAAACAAAAAACAAATTTCTTTAGCTGCATCTTATTGATCTAGAAAATGAGTTCAATTTGTTCTTATGAATGTCACCAGAAATAATTGTTTTTATATTGTAGATAAAGAAAACCCATCTTGAGAGACTATAAATTACGTTTACAGTTTTTATTCTTGTTTTTTAAGTGAATGGTTCTGTGATGTAATGGGTAGCAGCTTGGAATTAGAAATTGTACAGCTCTGTTTTGAATTCCAGTTAGATTCATTATGTTCTCTTATGCAAAAATACTCTTGGGAAAGGTATGAATTCATTTTCCAAGCTATTAGTAAAATAGTAGGACTTGTATCTAGAAAAATCATTGCTATTCTCAAAAAATGTTTAATGCAGTATTCACTCACAAAAAAGAATTGCAATCCAAAATGTTTTGGCTTTAAATAACCTATAAAGAGTTTATAAACTGTTAAAAAAAAAAATCAAATTAGTTAACATTTATTGTATTTATTTATTTTTTTTTTTTTTTTTTTGGGAGGAGTTGATAAAAATATTTTTCTTATGTTTTAAGTGTTAACAACCATAAATGATATAAAATTATCCAACAATGATGTCCTTACCAAAGAATACAAAGCATAATTTTATTCTGGGATGAACTCAAAACAATAAATTGCAATAAACTATGGCATTTATGGAAGGACTTTTTTTTTTTTTTTTTTTTTTTTTTATATATACTTAGGTGTAATTATAAAAAAAAAAAAAAATCATTGTAATGCACTATAGTTGGAAAGTTGCTTTTGGGCATTGCTCAAATACAGTGTGTGAAGTAATATTGACTACATTTACTAGGCTTTTATCTGTTTAATTCTTTGACATTTATTTTCCTTAATCTTATATAAGTCATTTTAAAGATATTGCTAGTTAGTTGGAAACTTTCTTTTTGCTTCATAATCAATTCTTTGTGGAATTCGTCATTTTTGGTATGTAGAAGTTTGAGAATTTCTTTAAGCTACTAAGGAATACTTCAGTTATGTGCCTATAGAATTCTTGGGTTTTAAAATGTTGTATGGGATCCTAGTCCACTCATTTGGTTTGGTTTGGTCCAAGGTGAAGTATCTTAGCACAAGGTTCCTCAGTGGGAGTCCATTATCTTCGAAAGAGATAAGAAACTGAAGAATTAATTTTCTTTCCATGTAGCTGTTCACACTGCGGGAGCAGCAAGCAAAGTCAAGACATTCAAGTGGCAGCACTGAAGATGGCAAACTCCTTAAGGGAACCTCCTCGGAGGGTACACAAGATGGTGATGGTAAAGACCTTCATCCTAAGGTATGTTATTGACATTGAAGCTTGCTTTTCTTATAACCTCAAACTCTAAGGCTGACATATGAGCTAAGGCTGTTAGATAAGGCTGTAAATCAATATTAACCAAATTCTTAACATTTCAAGGCTTAGTTGGTGAAGGAAACGAAACAATGGTAAGGAAAGGTGTTAAGGTTCTATTTGATTTGTTTCTGGTTTGGGTTAGTGAAATTTTTCCTTTTTCTAGGAAAGTTCTGACATTAATTTCTACGCTTAAAGATTTTCTTAAAAATTCTCATCTGTTTGATGTTTTTTTTTTTCCCCCCAAACTTTGTTGAAATGACTAGTGGGAATATGCAAAGCTTTAAGTTCTCAGTGACTTAAATGTTTAAAAGCAAAACTGTCAGAGCTTTGGTAGAAACCATTTTTCCTTTGCTCTTTTATTAGGTATGTTTATTTTCTCTATTTTTTTTTTTTTTTTTTTTTTTTTTATACTTTTCTTTTTAATACTGTGCTTGTGTATTTTGTTGGCTTTTCTGCATTGGTTGCTTTCTCTGAACACTCATTGGTTTTGTCAAGTGTCCAGAATGGTAGTGAAGTGTAAGTGTATTTATGTATCCCATTAACATAGAATGCCTCCATCATGTTACTCAACCTGCTAACATGTTGTTACTATGCTGCTGTGAAAGGGATTTAGTTGAAAAGATTTTTTTATTTTATTTTTTTTTAAGTTTTTATATTAAAAGGTTTTCAAATTAAAACAAAAACAAATGGCATCCTTACTAATCATTTAACTTTGCTTCTAGCTTGAAACCTCCACAATATTGTTGGCTTCTGGAGTCCAAATCACTCTGAATGAAATGTCAAGTGTGTCCTGCTTGTTACTCTGCTTTTTTTTTTCTGCCTGCTCACTGATGTTTGTTTGCTCCTAATTTTTCCTTTTTTTTAAAAAAAAAAATAAACCCAAAAAAACAAAACTTTGACCCTTGTCTGTTCTTCCTTTTATTGGAAAGACACTATTTTTCTGAATAATCCCAAAATATTATGAATTTGTCATTTTTATAACATGACAAATGCATAGAAATGATTTTTTGTACCTGCAAATTTTGTTACTAATATTTTTCTTTCTCTATTCAAATTTGCATTTTGTGCTTTTGAATAACATTTTTTTTTTCTTATCACTTATTTTGAATGATTTTTTTTTTTTTTTTTTTTTTTTTTGTAAAGAAAATTGTTTTTAAATTCAACAAAATTATATACAATTTTCTTTTACATAAATTTTTCTTTCAACATTGAGTAAACTAAGGAAAAAAATTATACATTTAAATAAAAAATAAATTTTAATTATCCAGTATTAACTAATTCAAAATACATATTTTTTTATACAATGAACTCCACCCTTATTTTGTATTTGAAGTATTTAGATTCATAAAAAAATGAGGGAATTCATTTTCTCAAATTCTCATCAAATGTAGATGGAATACCAGAAAATAATTAAATAATTCCCTTTTTCTGTTTTTGTCACCTTGTAGGATATTGGAAAATGTTTTTCATAGATTTTTATTTCTGAATAAAAATTATATTTAAATTAAAATTACCTAATGTTTAAAGGTTACATTTCCCAAAATCATTTAAAATTCTAGTTTTATTTTGATGCTATTTCAAATTTTAATTATGCTTAGTCAATATAATTAAATTTGACTGTAAATCATTTAATGATTGAAAATCAAGAAAAAATTTACATAGATTTTTATTATTTTTATTTATTTTATTTTATTTCTTTTTTAAGGCTCTTGTAATGAAAGTATTATTTTTGTTCTCTGTAGATATATTGAATGGTATTGCTTTCTTTAATCTTCCAGAGGTTATCCAATGGATCCATAGACCCTGACTCTGATATTAACCGTGTGATAGAACTTCAAGAAACAGTTGAGAAGCAAAATTCAGAACTAACTTCTACTAGGACAAATATATTAGAACTCACAAATAAATGTACAGAATTTGAAGAAACATTAACATCCACTCAAAAAGATTTAATAAAATCTCAAGAACAATTAGTTAAACTACAAAGAGATTTGAGAGAAGTAAGTATGCAACATTTTATTTTTACATGGAAAAATGTTACATTGATTTATTTTATTTTATTTATTAACTACTATTATCTATTTTACAAGTCCTATTCATATGTAATAGTACAATGCTTTTGTACTTGTAGCACTTTAGGTATATGTGTATTTAAACTTGGATAATAATCTAAACAGTTTATTACATGATGTAGCTTTAGGAAAGACATCATAATTTATGTAATGTGATTATTTTATGTACCTGTCATTATTAGAGAATGAAACTTTTAAATTGAAAAGTCAATGCCTGTTATTTTTCAAATACTTCAAGTTGATAAAATTTATTAAATAAATTTATACATTATAAATGTATTTATCAGGGATAAATGTGTTTGACTTGAAGCCTGTACCCTGTCAAAAGTTGAATGATAACAACATGCAGTTTTTATTTTGATTGGACTCATTGATTTTGACATACGAGAGCTGATCAGTTTGGTTTAGAATTGAACCTCTAGACTAGCCACACAGATGATTTGATTATAGTGGTGAAGCCTGGTGTAGAACCCACAACACTTTCCTAAAGAACTGATAATGGGGGTGGGGGATATGCAATGAAGTCTGCAAACTGTCCTTCAGTTTGAATTCAGTTCTTCTAGACTGACTGCCACCCAAAGCAAAAGGGCCTGGTCTGCCCTGCATTTTTACAGGAGCTGGAGGTAGATTCGTTTAAGCTCTTTATCAGGACACTGACAAAATCAGAATTGACTGAAATTTGAATCCTGATGTCAATTCCAATTTATCTGTTGATAACTGTTACATTATCTGCATATTCAATTTGAATGAATTAGGTCATTTTGCTAGGTTTTTTTTTTTTTTTTTTTTTCGTTAATGAGGATGTTCTTGGGTAGTCATGTTTCAATTAGCATGTCTAATTGCCTGGAAATATTGATTAGATTATTGTTTAAGTTCAATATATCTTACTGTGATTAAATGATTTTTTTATTCTGTACTATATGACTTTATACTGAAGACTGCAATTTTTGTTCTCAAATATTCTGTTGTTGAATAATGAGTAGAACTTGAAAACTTGTGATTCTGTGTTTTGTCATTACTTAATCGTTGTCTTCATTATGGAGTCAAGGTAGCAGACTCTTTCTCTATTCTTTGAAGATTTAGTTTTGGGGAATACAGAAGATTGTAGTGACCTTTACAAATGATAGAATTTTAAACTGGGTTTGTTTTTCAGCAAAAGGTAATTTTTTTTTTTCCCCCCTTCCATTTTGATTATTTTACAGCAAAAAAAAGACTTGCTAAAATTGAATTATTTCAGGTGAGCAAAGAATTTACATTGTTAAAATGTGGTTTTGCTGCTTTAATGTTATATTTATTTTAACATTCATTCTTGTCTAAATCTGTTAAAACAAGTGACAGCTTTAAAGGAGGTTTGTCAATATATTTAAGTATTAGAAAAGTCATTGTTAATACTTAATTTATTTTAGTTAGAAATAATACAAAAAATAAAAAAAAATAATAATTTTACTATTGAGGATATAATCTTGTATAGATATGGGGATTCCTGTATTTACCTTTTTATTTAGTATTCTATTTTGTGAAAAGTTTTTTTATATAATGTGTCAAATTATAATTGTTAGATACAAGTAAAAAATGTTAGAGGAAATTTTCTAGTTAATAAATTTAATTTTGCTAGAACATTCTCTTGGTAAGTTTTCTTTGGTTTAGAAGAAAGTGTTCCACTTTCTCAATAAACTGGATATTTTAAAAATGGAGAGAACTCTTCATTTAGTATGCATCATTTATAATAATTTAACTTAGAACTTCTTGCTTATCTAATTTTCCTTTCAGATGAAACATTTCAACTAATAGCACTTAATCTTTTAATCTCCACCATAAAATCCGGTATTATAGGTTTTAAAAGAAACATGAATTGGTACTAATTATAGGTTTCTATCTATAACTGATTAATGCCCTCCCCCTCCAATGAGGTGTGTATTAATGGGTTAAGTATTAAAACATTTCATTTTTAAAGTGAATTTTAAAAATATTTTTAATGTGTAATTTCGGAGAATCTTCTGGTACTGGGTTTGATTTTTGGCTAGAAAGATTTTAAGGATGTGGGAGTGCCACTTAGTCCCATTTTTAGTTTAAAACAAACAAATGATGATTCCCAAATATTGGAAATAATTCCTTTATTCTTACTAAATGGATAAGATTTAACTCACCAAAAAGACACTTTTTTTTCCTAATAATAAAAATTTATTGCATTTATTTTAAAATATGTGTGTATATTATTCCATCACTATAAATTAAACTTTTCTTTTCATTCTTTATTTTCAGTCTGTGGCACAAAAAGAAGACCAAGAAGAAAGAATTGCTACATTAGAAAAACGATATATAAATGCTCAAAGAGAGTCTACATCTTTACATGATTTGAATGATAAATTGGAAACTGAACTTGCCTTGAAAGAATCTCAATTAAAGGCTGTAAGTATCATTGTATAATATTCGTTGTTTTTGTATGAAAATCTTTTTTTTTCTTTTCACTTTTCTTAGGATAGATTAACATGTTGATATCCTTCTGGATTATATTTATTTATTTTTTAATATTGCATAAAAATGACATTTAAACTTTTTTGCATTCAGCTTTTTACTTTATCATTATTCCATGAATGTTTTTGTCCTTTAACCATTGCAACCGAATAGATAAACAGGAAGCAAGAGAATAACTTAAAGGATAATTTTCATTATGATAATTAAGAATTTTAGACTATTAACGTCGATATATTTTTGAAGGATCCTTTTCCTTATTTTAAAATAGGAAATAAATCCTCTTATATGGGGTCATTCTTTTATGAGGTTCTCCTTTTTGATTTTTCAGAGTGAAGAAAAAATAAGAGTCATTCAAGAAAAGTTGGAATTAGCTGAACAAAAACTTCAGCAGTCACTACGCAAAGCAGAAGCTCTTCCAAGTGTAGAAGCTGAGTTAGCACAACGTATGGAAGCTCTAAGTCAGGTAAGTTCATCAAAGTTTTTTCTCCTTCTTTATTAATTTCATTTAATATTAATGAGTAATCTTTATAACTACTTACTTTTTAAATTTCAATCACAAAAGAGTATTTTATGATTGAAATTTTATTTTATTTTTGTGTAATTTACTAATATTAAATTTCCAAAGAAAGTAACTGTACTGTGCATTATGGTTAATATGGCAGGAATTTCATGTGCATAGACAATTTGGTGATATTTCACCAGTACTATAAAATATCAGCACTTAAGCATTCCATTTTCTTAAGGAGATATATATATATATATATATGATGCTGGTCCAATATTTTTCAATGGGATTAGCACTAATGTTAACATGTCTGAGATTGGCTTGAATTTATGTGAACTTCAATTTCTAACTCCCCTGTTGGATATCTATCACCTTCATTTTTGTTAGGAAACTGGTTTTAATAGTGATACCATCATGCTCCTCATAATGTCTGTACTTATGTTCACATTGTTTAGTGCATTTGCAATTTTTTTTTTCTCCCAGGTTGCTAGGGTATTACTTTATTGCAGATTGACCCCCTTCTTTCCCACCTTTTAAAAATTCTAAAAAAAATGAATTTCAGCTATTTTTCTAGACTATGAAGTACATGCATGGTGCGTGCCCGAGGAAATGTTTAGAAGTCTTATGGACCTGGCTGAAACTATAGCTAACTTGGCACCGTATATCTTTTTGCTAAAAAAAAAAAAAAAAAAAATGTTTAGGTTATGAAATAACTGGAGTTGAATTGTGTAACTGCAGTTGAATGTAATGTTAATAAAACAAATTCAGCATTGTTTTTGTCCAAACAAGAATTAAGATTAGTTGGCAGAAAGTTTGTGTATTTTTTTTTTTTTTTCTCCTGCAGAATTTGAACTTTGAAGAAAATATAAGATACTAAAAAACACTTCAGTGTATACTTGGTCATTCATTATCCATATGATTTGTTTCCATCTCTGGTTGATTTGTTTGATTAGAGATTTCAGTAAAATGGGTCCATGCCGTATTTATTTATTTATTTTTCTTTTTAAGACTTTGGTATCTGAGAGCATATGCTACTTGGATGCCCATATTTCTTGCTTTTGTGGTAGCAGTGAAGTAGTATAATCTGGTCATTAGCAAAGTTGAACCATTCTAAATTGGGGGGGAAAAACCCAGACTGGATATAGTTTTTGAAGGTGGGGGAGTGAAAGGTGGAATCTGTTATGAGCAGGAAAAACTTAGCAGGTGCTATATCCCTTTTTTTTTTTTTTTTTTTTTGTTTTCTAATTGAGATGACCATTTGAATAGGCAAGAGAGTTTCATAAAAATATAAAGACTTAAAAGTTGCTTACTGGTTGGAACTGCTATTGTAAAGATCGCTTTTAGAAATTCATATCAGCAGTTAGTCTTACAAAGACTAGAAGTTTGAGTAAAAAGACTGAGAATCTTAAATTTTAAGGTTTAATTATTTGGCTCGTATATATATATATATATATATATATATATATATATATAGTTGTTTTTGTATTACTAGATATATTTACCATGTATTCTTTATAACAATCTGTATTAGATCTGTAAAAGTACGCTTGTATGTCATAATTATATTGTATTATATTGACACTTGTTAGGAAATAATTTTATATTCTCCCTACCAAATGAGATTTTGTGATCAGTATTTTAAGTATGAATACATGAAATAAAAAAAAAATCAAAAGCTGAAATGATTTTGCTGTCTCATTGATATTTAGACAAATATCCTTTATGCTTGGCAGCAGAAGTGTGTATATTTTATCTTCAGCAAAAGACTAACATATACATTTCTGTATATGCTCATAAAATAAATGTCCATTTTATTTCTTTTAGTTTGCTGAGATTAAAAGAGATTGAAAGCAAGAAAGTATTTGAAAGGAATGTTTTATTTTATTAGAAATTTCATAGCAATATAAAGTCTCTAAGTTTGAAGTAGAATTTTTACTGTTATTCAGTTGATTACATGTGCATCTTGAATATTCTGAACACTATACACTGCTATAGATTTTCTATAGGATGTTAAATTTCAGATATAAGTTTATATAATTCACCTATTTTCTGTATAATCTTTTCGTCAAAGATTACTAGGACATTTTCTCTTTTAAGAAAACTGTTTCTATATAGTTTTACTATACCAGACCATTTTCCCTGTAACATTTGTGTTTCTCATTCTAAAATAAACGACTTTTTTTTTTTTTTTTTTTTTTTAGAAGAAAACATTTCAAAATAATATGCATGTTTTACTTGGTTATTGCTATTTGCTGTTTTCCAGGCTGAACAGCAGCATGGAAATGCACAGGAGAAGTTGCTGACTTTAGAGCAAAGCCTGACAGATCAAACTAATGAATTACAAAGGGTAAGTTTTTTTGTTTTTTTTATATAAATGCTATTTCAACTTGTAGCAAATTAGTAATTTTTATAGGCAGAATGCTATTCAACAATTTTCATAAATTTGCACAAAATAGAATGAATATGTAAAGAAAGTATACATTGTTTTTTCCCAAAATTTTTCAAAAAGGAATGTGTACTTTATTTTTTATATTTTTTTTTATTCTTTTTACTTTATTTCATAACTTTCAATTTAGAATGATGTATGTATATATCATTTTTTTAATTACATTTCATTAAAATAAGATTTTTTTTTTTTTTTTTTTTTTTTTTTTTTTCAAGGCACGCCAACGTGAGAAAAAAATGAACGAAGACCACAATGCACGTCTTTCTGCCACTGTAGACAAACTATTAACTGAATCAAGTGAACGTTTGCAGCTTCATCTGAAAGAACGCATGCAAGCACTTGAAGAGAAAAATCAACTGACTCAAGAGCTAGAGCGTACCAGAAAATCACTTGATGAAACACAAAGTGAAAAAGTAAGCACTATATTTTTCTCCCTAATAACTGCCAATCAATAAATGAAACTTCATTAATGCTGAAGTAATGTTTTTTTGATTTCATTAATTAAAATAACATTTCTTATAAGTTATAACCCCCCCCCCAAAAAAAAACAAAACTTGTTTCCCTCTGCTCTTCTTGGCTTCTGTATGTGCTGTGAATATCAAATTTTTCAAACCTTTCATGTTTACTGTCCCAGAAATTTCTTCTGTTGTATTTTGACAAGTGTCCTTTTGTCCCTGTTTTCCTTAAAACTTCATTGCTCACATGCTCTGTCCATGGCATTCTCACCATCCTTCTGTAGAGCCATATCTGTTGCCTTTGTCTCCTTTTCATTTGGAAAAAAATTGTCAAGTATTTATTGCTATAGAAAGCTTATGGTCATATGTTGAAACAAAAACAGTGCATAAAGATGCAACAACTGTATTTTGAGGATGTATTTAGAGTTAATTTTTGCAAGATGCAAGTCAAACACTCTTTGGCATTTATCCTTCTGTGAAGTCATTTCTTGTTTTACAGCCATATCACATTGAGACACTGGTTCTCATGTGATCACTGAATTTAAGCAACATCTAGCCTGGTCAGTATGTAGATGTGTGACTACTTGGGAATACCAAGTGCTGTAAGCTTTGATGTGGATGAATAACGACTTGAAACTGGAGAGCAGATCTCCAATTATAGTAGAGTTCATTATATTCATTTATATGCAAATACCCTTGGGAAAGGTATGAACCAACCTCTTCTCCCCCTTCAGCCATGGGTTAACTAGTAGGACTTGTATCAGTAAATCATTATCTTAAATTCTTACAATCTAAAAGAAAATGTATTCTGGTTTTAAATAACCTGAAGAAGGTTGATAAGCTGTAAAACACAAATCAATCAGTCATTGCCATAGAGGAGAATTGATATTACATAGCAGTTAAGAATTCTTTGTTTCTAACAAATTTCTAAAACTTAACTTTGAGTATACCAGCATTATATTTAAATGTATATAAGTTTCAAACTATAACAATAAAATTTTATAAAACGTCTTTAAAAGTACATTAATATCTCTTTAGGAACACAATATAATTTTTAAACAACTCTAATTGATGTAAACCTTTTGAATGTATTTTTAATGCCTCGAGAAATGATTAGTTCTCTCTTCGTCTGCCAATGTACCTTTTATTGCTTTGCAATATCATTTGATCAAAATTATGATACATGATCCTATTTTCTTATTGATTTTTTTTTTAAAAATCAACAGATTTCAAGCATGTGATATCCTTAATTTTTTTTTTATACAATTACAAAACAAAAATGTCAAATTTAATTTGAGAAATTTAAAAATCAAAATTTATTTCCAAGTATATTTAAGTGTATTAAAATTGCTAATATTCTTTTAATATAGTTTCCATATCATGCAATAAAATATACCATTTGTGCTAACAAATTGATTTTTTATTGTTTTAAATGATCATATCTAAGTGATAATTTTGCATGATTGTTATGTTGTTCATAATTTTATTTGAATTTTTGGGAACTTAGAATCTTGAACTCTATCTTGTGGGATATTTTTAATAATCTTAAGAAAAATTGTGAAACTGATTTCAAAATAAACAGGATTTAATTTGATTTTAATTTTTTTTTTTTTTTAATATATTTATTATACTGTTTATAAATGTAATTTTTTTTTTTCCTTCTTTCCTTTTCAGGAGAGAATCTATGAAGATTTGACCAGAGCTAAAAAAGAGCTAGAAGTCATGAGAGTTCAACTTGATCAACTCTCAAGGTAAATCTATTAATAAAGACTAAGTAATTTTTTTTCTTTCTGGGTGTGCTTTACTCCAGAAATATTTGTAATTTATCAGTCTTAGATTTTTTTTTTTGTTAATTCTTATTTGTATTATAACTTTTTAATCAAGATATATATCTGTATTCTGTGTCTAAGCTTGTTTTATAGACTTATTAAAGGTCAATAATTGGAAGATATACATTTGATAAATTTTTTTTTCTTCTTTCACTAAATAAAAATATTAAGTTTATTTTGTGAATTTATACCTGAATTAGACATTTCATATTTTACTTTTTAGAATATGAAAAAGAAACTTGAAGTTTTCTTTTGTTTCTTTTTTTTTTTAATATCAAATAAACAATGTATATTTTTCCTTTAACTTTATTCAGGGCAGCCATTGGCAGTCAGTATACTCCAATGCCCCCAAATGTTGTGATTCAGGGAACTGGTGAAGACACTGTCTCTCGGAGACCACAACGTGGTAGAGAACAAGCTCTTGTTGATGATCCTTCAAAGGTAAATGCAAAGAAAGCATAAAACTTTTTATTTTTTTTCTCTGCTCATGAATTACTATTTTGAACATTACATCTTTGTTCATTTTCACAATGCTTTATAAATCATTTGATGTAACTTCTCACTTGTTCACTTTACATTGATCCTCTCATAACTAAAATCATTGAGTTACTAAGTAATTCCTGTAGTGGGAACAATGTAGCTGAGCATTAAAACTGAGTTAGAAATTGGCTGAATTACTTTAGATATTGAAAAACCTTGCAGTTTTTAAAACTGCTTTTAAGGTGAATTTACTGCTATTGTAGTAATAAAGTAGCAAGTTTGTATTGCTTTTACTTGTCTAATTCTGAAAGATATGAACCATTAGTACAATTAGCAAGTGATTAGATCTGTTAAATAATTGCAATAGGGTGCTGAAATGTTCTCTGCTTGACCCACTTCCTAAAATAATTATTTCAATGATTAAATATCAGGATATTGATTTTTGGGAAGTGGGTTGGGCTAAGAATTTTCTAGCATCCTCCTGTTATATCAACATTGCAGAGTAAGTTCTGTTTGTGATTGCTGAGACTAATGATATATTAATGAGTTAATGTGAAAAGTTATACTAAGAGTAGATGGAATAATTGGTGAATGTGAGTAGAACAAGAAGGTAGGTAGTGTGTGTGTGTAATACAAATATAAAATTGTCACTTGTTTATTTGAACAGCAATCCCACCTTTGTACAAGTTTCATTAAAGATGAGGGACTGCAATTTAAATTTGTCTTGCATTTGTACAAATGATTTCTTTTCTGGACTGTACGGGGACTGGAATTTCTGCAACATGCATGAGGAAAATATGTGCATAATAGACTCGTCCACACGCAACAAGGGGTTTAAAAAAAAAAAAAACTGGAAGCATTAACAATAAGAATAAAAAAAAATTCCGCCCTCAATAATATCAATTATGAACACAGCCACATGGTGACCCTGTTCAGAAATTTATTCCCATGAAAAAAAAACCCAAAAAACTACATATTCAATTAAACCAGAAATCATCCTTTGATAATATTAAAAAAAAAAAAAAAAAAACTCTGTGTAGGGGGAGGTGATATAAAAACACGAGTGTCAGTTATAATTATGTCCCAGCAGGAAATACTGAAGATGCCAGAATGCTGAAATTTAAAATTAAGATTTTTTTTATTTACTTGTGGACTATTGTCCTCATCTTTTGTGATAATGACAACAATGATGAGGACAATAGTCCATGTGTAAATAGTGAAAATAACTCCTAATTCTAGAAATTCAGACAAATTAGATTTTTTTTAGGCATATAGTCTAGCCAATTTCATTGTTTCTTATGCTTTTGTATTTATTGCTGTGATATATATACATATAATTGTTGAGGGAATTGAATTTCACCTGAAGAAATTTATACTGGATTGGAAAAAAAAAAAAATTAACTTTTAGATCAGGAAATGGTGTGTATATATATAAAAAGTATGTTAATGGGAAGAGGATCAGAAATTCTGATGTTTTGTCAATGTATTGAAATTTTCTCTTTCTCATTAGAACAAACTGACATTTTTGTGCTATTAAACTTTGTTTTATTTAATACTTTTTTCTTTTTAATTAACTGTGTGAATCTAATTTGTTTTTTGTTTTGTTTTTTTTTCCCCTTACGAGTACTGACTACTAATACAATTAAGTGCGGTAAAATACTTGATCAAAAAGGGAGTCGATAAAAATCAGTCAGGTATTTGAGTGATCTTTAGACTAAGAACTTTTCAACACCCTTTCATGGAATAAAAAAATTTAATGACTGGAGCTGTAATGGAATGTTTAATTCTACATTGATGTTTCAACATTAATCTGAATCTTCCCTGAAATATTTGAAGGGTTTATCTTTGACAAGTAGGTTTAATATCAGTCCAACTGTATACGAGTTATTTTTTTTTTTTTTTTTTTTTTTCTTTCAGGTCAATACACTGAATGAGCAGGAATGGGAGAAAATACAGCAAGCCCATGTGTTGGCTAATGTACAACAAGCATTTGATACAAGTGATACAGAAGGAGCTGATGAAACAGAATCTCTGTATGGACCTGTGGATTTGCTTTCACCTTCAGGTCATACAGATGCCCAGACATTGGCCCTCATGATACAAGAACAGTTAGATGCAATCAATAATGAAATTAGGTAATTTTAATTTTTCATCTTTATTCATTTTTAAAGCTCCTGTTCATCATGAATTTGTAGAAATTTCTATATTTTTATTATGGTATTCAGTTTCTTTCCTAAAATGTTATGGTAATGGTAGTATTAGCCATTTCCCTACAAGGTAACATTTGGCATTCATTGACCAAGCTGCTAGTATTGCTATCAGTTGAAATTTGTCAAGTCTTTGCCTTAAAACAATTTTTCAAGAAAATAGTTTTCTCAAATCTTGTAGCTGTTATTGCTCTTTCCAGTATCAATGAGGTTTCCTTCCTAACCTTTTATTTGAATTAGTGTGGAATATCAACATCTTGATTATGCTGTTATTTTCTCTTTGAGTTACCTGATGCATTTTGGAAAATTATGAAAAGTAACTTTCAATGTAATTATTTCATCTTTAGTTTCAATAACTTAATTTTAATATTATTATTTCAACTGTGGATTTACATTTTTACAAGCATGGAGTTTCTGAAAAAAACCTAAACAAAATTGCCTTAAATATGATTGGTCAGGTTTTAGGAAGTTGGTTGGGCCTAAAACTTTTCAGCAACTCCTTTTTGTATTGTATGCAAGTCTTGTTTAGGAATTAATCATTTTTTATAAACTGTTGACTCTTATACAAGCTTTGAGAGTTACACCTTTCTCAGTGTGGGTGTGATGTGGATCTTTTCAGAAGTAACCTGAAATATTCTTGGTGTTTTATGGGATGAAAGGCATTGCCATAAATGGTTTGAAAGTGTTAGAAAAGGTGATTTCAACATACAAAGATTCATCACAAACAGGCTGTTGTCTTTAGTCTAAGGATGACCTGCAATTATTTTAACTTTAAAAAAAGGAAAAGTGAAATTTATGATTGAATCATTAACTCGAACTGAATTCAGTCTGTTCAACAGTTTAAAAAGTTCACTTTTAATTGCAACAACTAGGAAAGGAGCCTAAGTCAGATCTTGTGTTCATCTGATAATCACCTATTCTGGAGTTTACAAAAACATCTTGAACTTGTTTTTTTAAAATGCACAAACAGGTAGAAACTATGCTTTTTGCATTTCCCATTTCCTGAAAGCAAAAATTTTTACAAAATTAAAATGATTTTGTGAATTGTTGGTTTAAGGTTATTGATATTAATAATGATTGTATCATTATTGGACAAATTCTAATTGGGAATAACTTTCTTTCTTTCTTTTTTTTTTTTTTTTTTTTTTTTTTTTTTTTTTAACCCTAAATTCAGACATTACTTAAGGCAGGCATGTTAAACTCAGGGCATATGGAGGGCCACATCGGCCACCTCGGGCCACACCTGCTTACAGTCTTACATTAATCACAGCTCGTGGTAACTAAACTTTAAATACAAAATACTTACAAGACAAGGTAGCACAATTTAATCATTTTTATGTTGTCCTGATGATTGACATCGCTTTAGACAAACTATTCTCCATATATCAGGTTGGAATGTCTGTGTAGATCCCACTTTGATCAAAGATGACAAAATGTTCATCAGTTAATCTGGTTCTGTAAGATGTTTTTGTGGCCTTCATAAATGAAAATAACTGCTCACAGACATATATGGAACCAAACATCACCATAATCTTTGTGCCAAACTTTCTGAAGTTCTTAAATGTCTGAGGAATATATGAAAAAAATCCGGGTACCCCTACTTCTCGGTACTTTCCCTTGAGTGTTGAGTCAGTCTGCATTTCCAATAGTTCCATCTGTAGACTTTCCTCTGGCTGAGCAACATCAAAAGTGAATGGTGTTGAGAATAATGCAAACTGATCTTCACAAGATGAAAAATCACAAAATCTTTGCTGAAATTCCTTTGACAGCAATTCTGGGTAACTGTCATACTTAGCAAAGATAAATACAGACTCTGTATTAGCAGTTTTTTTTCAACTCCTTGCACATAGGAAAATGAATCAAGTTTTCATGTGATAACTGGGACTTCAATAAAGCTAATTTTGCAATGAAACACTTGATATCATCATATAAATGAGTGATGAGCTTATTTTTACCTTGTAATTTCAAATTAAGGTCACTTAATTGGGTAGTAATATCCACTGAAAAAGCTAGTTCTTGGAGCCAGCTTTCATCTTTCAATTTATCTGTGCTTTGACCCTTCATCTTGAAAAACATGATTTAATATTACAATAAAAAAATTGTTTCAGTACCTTATGACATAAAAGCCACTAAACTTCTGTGTAGAATGGAACATTTGTGAACTGATTATTCATGTCTTCAAATAACTGTCTAAAGTGATGGTGATACAGAGCACAACCTCTGATATAGTTCACTGTTTTTGTGACAAAACTCAACATATGATCTAATTTTAAAATCTTAGAACATAAATTCTGTTGATGAATTATACAGTGAAAATGCTTGAATGTTGAATCTGGATATGTTTTCTATTTTTGTACCTAACTTGGCAGCAACATCATTATATCTCTCAACCATATTAGCAGTACCATCAGTAGATAAAAACACAAGTTTGCTCAAATCAAGGCCATACTCATGGAAAAACTGTTCCATTTTCTCAAAAATGTACTGGCTTGTTGTAGTATTATGCATTGGGACCAGTTCAATTAGTTCTTCATAAATTTGAAATTCGTTGTCACAAGTCCTGATGAAAATGGCGAGCTATACTATTCTAGCTATGTCAAGTCTCATCCAGAGCAATAGAAAAATGTTCAAAACTTGATGATAATGTCTTCAACTGTCAACTCAAATCACCTGCTATTTCATCAATCCATTCAGCAACAGTGTTTCTGCTTAATGAAATATCTTGAAATAAGCGTGACTTCTCTGGACATATAATTTCAGCTGATTTTACAAGACATCGCTTTATGAAATCTTCTTCACTGTAAGATTTTCCACTGATGGTGATCATTTTGCAGAGTTCAAAGCTTGCAATAACAGAACTAACATTGCCTTTCTGAATTTTTGTAAAGCAAATCTGTTGCTGTGTTAACTTTACCTTGAATTCCTTCATTTTTGAAATGCTCATATCTCCTTCATGTTTATCATAAGATCAATGGTTTGTTTCATAATGTCTTTTCACATTATATTCTTTTGGTGTTGCAATGCAGTGGTTGCAAATTAAACAGTTTATCTTTCCATTAGCAATGATACAAAAGTATTGTAATTCCCACTTTTCTTGAAACACACATCCTTCTTCAGATAATTTTCTCTTCTTACAAGATGGAGTAGAATTTGACATTTTTAAGACAAAATATTACAAAATTACGAACATTTTCACTTTACATTTGTTCTTATTTAGTTGTCAAGGATGATTACATGATTAACCAGAAGTTAAAAATAGTTGCTGACATTTGAAAACAAAAAAACATTGAGATAGAATAAACAATCTAATCATACCAATTGAAAAAAAATCTCAGTTTTTAACAATTTGCATTACCAACATAGACAAAATTCTTGATATACCACAGCTATAGAAAACTTCGAGGGCTGCCAAGATGCATGTAAAGGTCCACCAGTTTGACACACCTGATTTATAGGATGAACTGATATTATTAATGCATTAAAATTTAATATTTATAAATTGAGTCATGGTTATTTCTTTCTTCTACACTTTCCACCTTTGTGTGTGTATATAATGTGTCTTAGGCTTAAATATTAAATCCTATTTCATTCTTTCAGATTAATACAAGAAGAAAAGGAGAGCACTGAACAGCGAGCTGAAGAATTGGAGAGCAGGGTAGGGAGTGGAAGTCTTGATGCAATAGCCAACAGATGGCGCTCAGGTTATGAGCGATCGTCTCCACCATTGAGTGGGCGGTCCACGCCAACTCCAAGATCATATCAGTCCAGAGATTATCTCCAAAAATATCATACAGTAAGTCTGGATAGGCCAGACCTAGAGAGAAACCACATTGCCACTTTTTCTTTTCTTGTTTTTTTTTTTTTTTTTCTTTTTTTTAATGTCACAAATATTTTTTATGAAGCTTATTTAGTTTGATTTTTACTCCCCAGTTCAATGCGGACATGTTCTTGATGCCAGTTTGACTTTGATTTGATATACACATGAAATGAATCAAATATACAAGAAATGAATTTTAAAAATTTTTGGTTTTGGATAAAAGTAATAGAAGACATGAAAAATGCAAACAATATTTTCATTCTTCAAGCATTACATATTGTTAATATTTTTTATTTTTCTAAATTATTAGAAACAAATTTAACAATATGGGGAAAAATACTTAATTGCTTGCAAAAATAAACCTGCTCAAATGTCAAATTTGTTTCTTTAATTTCCTTGACTGACTGGGAACAACATTCATCCATATAGCTGCAGTAGAAAATCACTTTAAAAATTTTTTTTACTGAATTTCTTAAAATTATTACTTTTTCAGAATCTCTTTTCTAAATATATTAATACACAAGTGTGTGAATTTAATGATCATTTATTTTTTTTACGTAAATTTATAAAACTTATGTATACACTCCTCCATTTGGTAATATGGACCTCTTTTTAATAGATATTAGAAGCAATGGACAACATTTGGAGCAGCTGACTCCATTTGTAAGTCCTGCCTACTACAGATGGAGTTATGGCAACACTTGATAGAAACTGCTGCTTTGCAAGCTGATTGCTAGTTGCCAAGCCCTCACTTTATTCACATCAGTGTAACCACATGTGTAGCTTATTGCTCCATATGTTTTAATTATGATTATAAATAATAAACAGATTTCAGAAAAAGTAATCATCAGTTTAAGATATTTACCTCCATAATGTCCTTTAAGACATAAATTTATCTTTTGATTTTTAGCTTTTAGTAATCTATGAGTCCTGACAATGTATATTTTTAGCATAATTTACTACAGTCTAATGTAGCATAAATTAATGCAAGCAAGAAGAGAATAACTTTGCAATGAATCAAAATATTTTAATATTTAAAAAAAGTTTTTTTTATAAGTCATGTTTCTTCTACCCTTTAACATTTTGTACTTTTTTTTTATATCTTTATATCTCGTCTCTCTCTCTCTCTCTCTCTCTATATATATATATATATATATATATATATATATATATATATAAAAAAATCTGGCCATGTCTTAGTTTGTATCAGAAATAGGTCAATGTATTATGGTACTTTGATTGAATAATATGATATCGTGTAGGAAAACTAGTAAATTCTTGCAATGGAAAAAATAGGTGTACAAAACAGTTGAAGCATCAAGAACCTGTTCCTTGCTTATTGTATATATCTTTTTTTTTTTTCTCTTTGACTGTTACCATTCTTGTGAACACAAATGTTTGTGATTTTTTTTTTTTTTTTTTTTTTTTCCTCTTGTGGTACATGTGGTATGCTCTCTTCATTTTCAGTTTAGCTTGATATATGCCAAAATTGGTTCAGTTTCATTATCATTCCCACCTTCCCCTATCCTTATCTGTTGTTGGCACTGCTAAAGTTTTTCTTTTCTTTTTCTTTTTTTTTTTCTCCAAACAAACCTTCACAATTTATTCAATACTTTCTCAAAGTGGACTCATTTTCAACATGGATGGTCTTTAAATTCAATTTTAAGTTATAGAAGAAAAATACTGGACATTAATATACTTACAAGCAATGATTTTTTTGTTTTTTTTTTAATTCTTGATTCATTTTTATAATTATTATTAAAGCTATAATTTCTTATTTTAAAAAAATTATATCTTTGGAAATTATCTCCAAAAATACCTTAGGAGAAACCTGAAAATAATCAAAATTAGAGCAGCCATTTTAATTCTATAAATATATTTTGAATCCTTTAAATGAGTCTTTTTGTAACCTTCCAAAGTATTTCAAATAAACAATGTTAATTATAAAGTTTGGAAGTGATATCTCATTACACAGAAGAGTTGATAAGATAAAAATTGAAGAATCTTTAAATTCTACAAAAAACTCAATTTCTGGATAAAACTTTTAATTTAAAAACAAAAACTGTTTCAGAATTAAAATGTACATATTACAATCATTCATAGTTCCACTTGTTTTCCTAATTTGGCAATAATTTTCAATATTAGGAAAATTAAAAGAGAATTTATTGAAAATCTTGTATGGCTTGTTTAAATATATTTTGTTCTAATGCATGTTCATTGTATATAATTTTGTATCTTTTGAGTTTTACTTATTTTTATTTTTGTTCTGATTTACATTGATTTGGAATGTATATATGCTGGAAATCTGATGTAACCTTTCAGTTAAGAGTAACACTTATTCCTTGATAAACACTTTAAATGTTTGGTCATCTTTGCAGCATGAATTTTCTCTTATTCCCCTGCATGCCTCTGCACTCTAGCACAAAGCAATTATTGCTATTTTGCTTTAAATATGTATTTCTACTTATTTTTGTCTGAAAAACATTTTGACATTTTAGTGTATTGTATGTGAAAGAAGGATAAATTAAAAATAGGTACTTAATAATCTTTGAAAATGTTTTATCTCAAATTTAGGTTTTTAGGAATCCTATTTAAATGAAAAATTGTTTTCAGAATTCTCTGATATATATATATATATATATATATATATATATATATATATAATTTGAAAATTTTATTTCTCATGTCAACCAGTGAATTTTTATGCTCACTTGCAGTATATTTAATTTTTAATTATTCTGTAGAGCTTTATTTTTTAAACAATATCTGCATGTGTTTTTGAAGTGTGATGTGATCTAACAAACCATGCCCTGGGAAAGGCTTCAATTTAATTTACCATTTAATAGCCAGATATTTTGAGAAAAATGTCACCATGCTTGATGTGTAGCATGTGATTCACATCAAGAAATACAAAGATCTAAATCAAACTTTGTCAACTTTTGTTTTGATTTGTAGTGACCCAAATAAGTATTGAGCTCACCCTAAGAGATACCAAGATAAACTTTGCATGTGTTACACTAGAGTATCAGAAGAATGACCTGGAAGATGACCTCATGGCCATCAGGTGTAGGTATGTGCCTCAGGATGCCAGTGACTTGCACATGTAAAAAGGTGGTCAATCCAGTTACTTAGAATGTGCACATGGGTCAAATGGATGACAGGAATTATATAAGTGCTCCACGCTGAAAGGGAAAAGACAGTCTCTCACATCCTTTGAAAAGGAGGTCCACATTTGGTGAAAGTCCCAAAGACATTCATCTACATGTGGATATTGATAAAGATGTAGAAAAGTGGTTGAATGAGCATTTGTTCAATGCACTTTCATCACTATCTTACATTTCCAGAAAGTAGCAACAAAAAAGTATTTATCATTTTTTTCTTTTTAATTTGAAGAATTTAAACTCCACTATAAGTTTCTTTCTAAACAAAAGAACATTATAGAAATGATAGTTATTTACATAATGCTTACAAATCAAATACTTTAAATGTTAAGACAGTTGTCTCAAAATACCAGGTCAGAAATAATGTGGATGGCCAAATAGTTCAAAGCTTTATTGGTCAGTGATGCCATTGATGAAATGACTTTTTATGAAGCTAGGATTCATTGTTGGTCTTCAAATGCACTTTAACGAAGCAGTGCAGTATTCTTTGCTTTCCTTATCTTTGAGAAGTCAAACTCACATTATGACTTTCAATACCTCGATTATCATTTTGCCAGTTAATGAAGAAGCGGTGTGATATCTTGGTAGAGTAAAAATGAAACTTTTCACTGCCTCATCTGGTATCTGTCTGAAAGTGATGATTATGCTCATTAACAGTTAAATTAAGAAATTTGAAAGGACTCCCTCTAAATATAACCCAAAACTAAAATACTGAAATATGGATCATTTGTCAGAATTTTCTGTACTTCTGCTGAGAAGAAGTGGACAATTGCTTTTTACAAATCCTACTGGAAATGACAAATTCTTTGAAACTGCTAATAATATATTTATCCAATTCTTCACAAGGATAGATTTGATATTTTAAAATGGGGGATGCGTGCATGTAAGTGCCAGGGTATTGACAAAAAAGTTGGGTATTAGAGAGGCCTTATTGTATGTCTGGAGGCAATTCCTTCACTGGAAGTAAACTTTTTAGACAGTAAGGGCCTGCTTCCTGTCATAAGCCATTGTGACTCGATATTTTTTTCTTGTCTTTTCAATTGGAGTCTTTTTTTCTGTTGATCTAATTTTTCTGGTTAGTCAATGGGAATCCAAATTTCTTTCAGGTTTTTGATGACAAAACTTTCAATATTGAAAAGGTTTGCTATTGAAAGAAACTGAAAGTATTTTTACCAAAAGAACAACTATTAGCAGTTTTGATAATAGATTTTGTAGAATATTTTTCATTGTTGAAATAAGTTAAATTTTTCAGTTTTTTCACTTTAACCAAAAAAAAAAAAAAAATCTTCAAGGAATTTGAGAAATTTTATGAGTAGAATAACATTCAGGATTTAATTCTTTTTAATCTCTGCAGAATTAAACCTGCTGAAATGGTCATAATAAAAGCTGTAATAAACTTTCAAGTTAGCAAGTGAAGTTTGATAAAAATGGAAAAAAATTAACTAAACGGATTTGCTTAAAAAGTCACAAAGCAATATAAAAATGACTAATGAAAATTTAGCAAAATATTTTTGTATATTTTGCAAGAAAAGGAAAAAATTAGATTTTACAAGTTTTCTGTTTTGGTTATTAGGAGTGTGTTTAAAAAGTAGACAATACTTTGTGATAAGTAGTGAATGAATTTCTAACAAAGAAAAATGTTGATCAAGAAATATTTCCATGGGGGGAAATAAGTGGGTCAATGATCAACTAATTATAAATTCTACGGGAATATTTCAATATCATGGAAAATTATTTTTATTTTTTTTTTTTTTTAAAATAAATATGACCATCTACTAAGCAGATGTGTTATTTTTGTAAGCTATTTTTTAAATAATTTACTAGATAATTAGTTGAAGCTGCTAATTTCCTGGATAAATTAAGAACTGGCTGTGAAGCTAAATATATAATCTTATCAACTGCAATGCTTGCATTTACTTCCATTACACAGGAGCAGGTTAGGTGCTAAGTTTTTGGGTGCATGTGATGTGCTTTTCGTGAGGCACATCTTGTGAAATTTGATTGCATTTGCATTTTGTTCTTTTATTTCAGGCGCCTGCAGGTATGTCTGCAGCACATATGCACACCTACTCATCCTCTAGTCCACAGTTAGCTACTGGCACTGATTCTTCAACATCACAGGTAATTACTCTCCCACTCACAAGACAAAAACAACCTCAAGCTTTCTTTCTTTCATCCTATGCAGCTCCCACCATATTTATGCTTTTCAATATATGTCATTTTTCTTGGTAATTTCCTCATGATTTTTGCACTATGGTACTTTTTTTTTTAAGGTGTTTGTATAGTTCCAGTGTCAGTCATTCATTAGTAAGATTTGTGCATCTTACCAGTGACCATTTATTTAAGACTACTGGCATTCATTTGGGTTGAAGCAAGGTGTGTGTGTGTGTGTGTGTGTGTATATATATATATATATATATATATATATATATATATATATATATATAATTGCCTTGGGTTGGCGTCTCATCTAGATTTAGATAGGGCATCACTTCTCCATGATATGAAGTGGGTGTCTTGTCATCAATGAGGCAGACGAGCTTCATTGGAATTCACTTTCAAATCAAACTGGTTTCTTCATGCCTCTGACAGTGTTTCTCAACCTTTCTGAAGCAACAGCACACCTAAGAGTAAATGAAAATATTACAGCACACTTAGCAAAATATTTAAAGGGTATTCATTTAAATGTTATGAAATAAAACCATGTATTTAAAAAAAAAAAAAACATGCGCACAAATATTTATTTCAATGTTTCTATTCAACTATTTGTGCAGCTTATTTAGTGTGAAACCTATGCCTGGTGTTTGTGATTGATACACTGTTTGGCTGAATGTGCTATAAACAGGCCCTCAGTTCTTCAGATGGCAATATTTCACAGCACTCTTTAGAGGATAATGCGCCACACTAGAGAATCCCTGCCCCAACACCTATTGTTGGGATCAAAGTAGTAAATATAATAATATATATAAGTAGTAAATATAATATAATATTTGGCTAGTGCTGGAGAGAGCATAAGAGACTTTTTAAGCTGATTTCTTGCTCAGTTCTTTAATAATGATAAAAAAGGACCTTAACATTCTTATTGTTTGCATTAAAGTACATCTTAGCAATGACTTTTTTAGTAATGATTATATTTTGCTTTGATTTTGTTGTAAATAGAAAGCATAAAATCAGAATATCCTAGCCAATAGATTTTTAATAAGATATAAAAACTAATAAAAATAATTGTTCCCTGTCTATGTATATAATAAAATCTAAATTTAGCAACTTTAAAATAGATTAAATTTCTTTTCATTCTTTGGCATTTTTACAACATAAGCAGTGTCTCTTCTCCAAACATTTTATTATTTATATGTAGGTTCTGTGCATACAAATTTTTTATTTTTTATTGAAAACTGCTGAGATCTAAGTTTTCTTTTGTTACTAATCAATATTTTTGCTCCTTTTTATTGTTTGCATTGATTCTGAATTTTATTTAATTTTCATTAACATCTTCAGAAAAATAAGCACCTATTCTCAATACATTTCTCAGTTAACCATTAGAACTTGTAATATCTTTTGTCTGCTACTATAAATGGGTACTAATTAGATAAGTTGCATGATTATCTATTTAGTGTGGACACCTTGAAGTGTTTAAGCATCTTTCTAATAGTTTTGTATGATTAACAGTTTGTTTGATGCTTGTTTCAATTCAGTCCAATTTTTGCACTTGTTAACCAATTTAAATTTTTTTTAAACTCTAAAGTGATTAAGTAAATTTTTTAATCACTTTTCTAAACATTAATACAGTGTGTAAATTTAATAATGATCACTTATTTCTCTTATTTACATTTCTAAATCTTGTATGAATTGGTTAGCAAACTTTACTTTTTTATGTATGAAGGTAATTTAAGAAAAGAAAAAGAAACATTTTGGGCTTTGAAAAAAAACAAGTTATGTTAACTATTTAAAAAAAAAAAATAAGTAAAACATTTAAAATAACTCTTTTTGGGTGCTATTTTGCACAGATAAAATACTGAGATTAGAAATTTTCATAAAGTACTCCTTGAGAGATATTATTTATATATATATATATATATATATATATACACACACACATTTTCTCAAAAGTCCTTAAATAAATTTAGGAATATTTTAGAAATATAAATTGTTTCAGAATTGGGTTTCTGTAAATTAGGTCAAATCCTTTAGATTTATTATTTAAAAAAAAAAAATAAATAAATCACTCATTTCAAGTTAAGGAATTGACTATTGGATGTTTTACTTCAAAAGTCTTAAAACAATGAAATAAAAAATTTTACTGAAAGTGATATTTCAAATTAGAATATCACTTCATGTAATAATTTCATAAAAATTGAAGGAGAGTAATAAGCTTGGTAATTTTGTGTTGAATGATCTCTTGTGCTTTCATCTCAAAAAGCATTACTACATAAAAACCAGTTAGATTAACTCTTATAGTTTAAAACTTCTCTTAGTAAACGTCAGAAATATTCTATATCCGTAATTATGTTGCAACTTCATTCTGTAATGACATAAGTAATTTTTCAATTAGTTTAGTTAATCTGAGTGCAGTATTGATACTCCTATTTGTATATCATCTTTACTGTTTTGTATTATCTCTTGATAGATATTTATGCATATCAAATATTTATGGTCCAAAGTATTTCAATTCTTATTTTTAAAAATACTTGACAGGAAACATTTTTCATTCTATTTATAATGAAAATAGCAAAGAAAGAAAACTAAGCATCATATAACTCTTTTTTTGGAGAAGAAAATAGTCTATGATGAGATATAATAAATCTAGCAAATTGTTAAAATGTTTCAAATAATTGAATTCCAACCAGAAAATACTTCTTGAATTAACTGTAATTACTCAGGGTTTCAATTAAAAATAATGATTAAAATTTGATGGGCAATCTTTTAATTTTGTTTATGGAAAGAAAGAGGATGCATAACTCCAGCTCTACACACTTCCATAAAATATATTTTTGGCTGGAGTTGCACAGTAGGGCAGGTTGATTTGCAACTTTTTTCAGAAAATCAACACAGCACTGGTGATGATAGTTGGGATTTGATGTGATAAAAACAGGTGCCAAAAATTAGATTCCTATCTTGAAAAGAAAATTGAGTATTTAATTATAAAAATCGTATGGAAAAATGCTGAGAAATCCTTAATTTTCATAGCGTTTTACTAGAAACTGACTTTGAAATTTCACTATTTTAGTAATAAATTCAGTTAAAATTGATATATTTATATGAAATACATTGAAAAAAAAATATATATATATGAATTATAATTTTAATTATGAATCACAACTAGCAAAATATCTCAACTTTTACAGCATTGATTAAACAAAAATTGTTAAAAAGGCTAATTAGCAACTGAGTCTTTTAAATTTCAAAAATCAAAAAGATATGTGAAGATGTATTACACAATAAAACAACTGGATACAAGTTAGAGAACCAAGTATTTTAAATTTTTATTGAACACAATAATAAAAACTGTTATAATAGAACTAAATTGTTCTGTGTAATTTCCTTTTGAGGTAAATGAAGGCCTAATTTGGTGGCACAATGACTTCGTAATAATGTGTCTGTCTTGCTTCCTGCCCATATACAACTTGTGAAGCTTCTGTTGTTAATTTCACAGCCCTTTCAACCCCTTGTGAATGGGCAGGTAATTTAGGAAGTTCTAGTTTAGTTCCTGTCATAGATGATTTCTCAAGTTCTTCATTTGTAAAACACTCTGTAAGGGCAGGTTCACAAACTCCAGTTTGAGAAAGATCAATCAAATTTGACCAGTGTGAGGCTGCAAAATTGATAGCAGTAATCTTTTTCAGTCTTTTTTTTTTTTTTTTTTTTTTTTTGGTGGTTCACTATCTCTGAAAAAAAAAAACAATTATATGAAAACTTAATTTTTTTTTATATTTTTGTGATGTAATTTGAATAAAACTGACTATTATCTGGGTAAATTGAGATAACTAATTAAATTTAATGGATAAATATTTACTTACCTAATGGACAAAATCTTTTTAATGGCCTCTTCCCTCACATCCAATTCTTCTGAGTTTATCATTGATATAATAATATTTTCTGGAAGTAGTGCAAAAACACTATATTTTAAACTGTTAAAAACAGTATTTTGGATTTCAGTTGACTTGTTTTGTCCTCTGAATCATATTAAAGATATACAGTTGTTGGTTAAAAAAATTGTCGGTTTTGATCTCAAACCAACTAACTGCATACACTTGAATGATAAATTTGACCAGAGTGTTTAATTTATCATAGTGTTTGAGGATAGACACCTGGTCCATAAACACATTAACCTTGTGGCTAATGTTAGCCATCTTGCTTGATTCAAGGGCCCAATTTTCCAAGCTGCATATCTTTGGTTAACTTTTCTTTGGGAAATGCCAACAGCATACTCAAAAAGTAGCCTCTGGTCTCCACTTAAATTATTTGTTTCTTCTGCCGTCAGATAATGATGATCTAGAGGGCCACTAATTTTTTTAAGTTCTACTTGAGGCAAATCTTGATAATTATTGATACAAAGTTTACCTAAAGGACCAGTAAATGTTGTTGGGCTTCTTGTTGTTCCATCAATTAATATAAAAATTGCTCTAAACGGCAGTTCATTCTGATGAAGTGAACAGCCAATAGTATGTAATTTTTTGTTAATTTTTTTTTCAAGAGCTGTAATAAGTCCTGCTTCACAGCCAGTGTTTGTACTGGTATTGTCCACCAAAATTGCTTTAACAGTATCTACACTGTTATATTCTGTTAAAACTGCAGCAACATCTTCAGCTAAGAGAACACCAGTTGCCCCCAGGTTAGGTATCACTCTATGGGTAAGATATTTGCTCTCTGTTCCTGTTTCTCTGGTGAAAGTTAAGTGGCGCTCTGCTCCTTTGTTTTTCACCATCTTTTTTCCACCATTTTTATCTACAACTTCTTTGTATTGTAAAGTGTCCTTATCAACTCTACAATCAATTCCAACACAAACTAGATTATCATTTTCATGGACATGCTTCACATGGCTGGATAGTTTTATTCTAGCCTTTTCTCTGTCAATTTTTGATTTATCTAAAATTATGTCCTTTAAATTTACCTTTGGGTGA